GTTCTTTTCATTTTCAGGACTCATCTCCTTTCAGCTATGGGAAATTTTCCTATATTATTTCTTTCATAATTTTCTCCTCTTTATTGTCTCTGCTGTCTTTCTGGAAATCCAGTTAATCAGATGTCGGGTCCCATGCACTGATTCTCTAATTCTCTTCTTTTTTTTTTTCCTCCTGTGTTTTCTATATAATTTTTTCACTGTATTCTGGGAGAGATGTCCTCGCCTTTATTTTCCTATCCTTTTTATTTCAGCAGTTACGTTTTTTATTGAAGTATAATTGATGTACAATATTATTTAAGTTACAGATGTACAATATAGTGACTTACAATTTTTAAAGGTTATACTCCATTTATAGTTATTATAAAATACTAGCTGTAGTCCTCATGTTGTACAGTATATCCTTGTAGCTTATTTTATACCTAATAGTTTGTACCTCTTAATTTCTTACCCCTATATTGCCCCTCCCCGCTTCCCTCTCTCCACTGGTAACCACTAGTTTATTCTCTATATCTGTGTCTGCTTGTCTTTCGTTATATTCAATAGTTGTACTTTTTAGATTCCAGATATAAGTGAGATCATACAGTATTTGTCTTTCTTTGTCTGACTTATTTCACTAAGCAGAAGGCCCTCCAGGTCCATCCATGTTGCTGCAAATGGCAAAATTTCTTTCCTTTTGTGGTTGAGTAGTATTCCATTATGTTTATATACCTTCTTTATCCATTCATCTATTGATGGATGAGCAGTTATGTTTTTTTTTGTTTTTTTTTTTTGTGGTACTCGGGCCTCTCACTGTTGTGGCCTCTCCCGTTGTGGAGTACAGGCTCCGGAGACACAGGCTCAGCGGCCATGGCTCACGGGCCCAGCCGCTCCGTGGCATGTGGGATCCTCCCGGACTGGGGCATAAACCCACATCCCCTGCATCGGCAGGCGGACTCTTAACCACTGCGCCACCAGGGAAGCCCAGCAGTTATGTTTTTAATTACCTGGTTGAACTTATTTTTTATAACATCTTGTTTTTGTTTTATAGATATAACAGCATATTGAATTTCTCTTGAGGTTACTATTAGAGTATTGAATCCAATATTAATTTATATTATTTTGTTTTATATTTTCCTCTGTTCCTTAAAGTATTGGAATATTTTGGAGCTAGTTTTTTGTTTGTTTGTTTTCTTTTTTTTTTGGCGGAATGTGGGTCTCTCACTGTTGTGGCCTCTCCCGTTGCGAAGCACAGGCTCTGGACGCGCAGGCTCAGCGGCCGTGGCTCATGGGCCCAGCCGCTCTGCGGCATGTGGGATCTTCCCAGACCGGGGCACGAACCCGTGTCCCCTGCATCGGCAGGCGGACTCTCAACCACTCTGCCACTAGGGAAGCCCAGTTTTCTTTGTATTTTTCTAAATGTTAGAATAGGAGGCCTTTACTCTCAGGCAGGAGTCGTTAAACTTTTCCTGCACAGGGCCAGGTAGTAAATCTTTTAGGCTTTGTGGGCCAAGAGGCAAAATCAAGGATGTTATATAGATATTCATATGACAAGAGAGAAGACAAATTCCCACAAAATTCTTATTGATGAAAATGTTTTAATAACAAGTTAGTACACTTTTTGTAATAGAGGTCTGCTAATGAGAAGAATTGAATTCTTGTGGGGTGGGCATTTTATTTTGGGGACTTAGGGTTAGTGTCCCGAAGTGATTGCAAATGTTTCTATGTTATTCCTGATCTGTAATGAGATTTTACATATTTCATCTTTGAAAATGTCTTTTTGTATAGATATATGGTAGGATGAATAATGGCTCCCCAAGGATGTCCATGTCCTAGTTCCTAGAACCTGTGAATATGTTATTTTTTATGGCAAAAGGAACTTGGCAAATGTGACTTAGTAAAGAATCTTGAGATGGGGATGTTGTGCTGGATTATCCAAGGGGGCCAATATAATCACAGACATCTTTATAACAGGGAGGCAGGAGGCCAAAGAAGAGAGAAGATGCTATACTGCTGACTTTGAAGATGGAGGGAGTGGGGCACAAACCAACGAATGTAGGTGACCCCTAGAAGCTGGAAAAATCAAGGAAACATTCTGCCTTGGAGCCCCAGGGGAAACTCAGCTGTGCAGAACCATTTTAGACTTCCAGCCTTCAGAGCTGTAACATAATAAATTTGTGTTGTTTTAAGCATTAAGTTTGCAGTAATTTGTTACAGCAGCAATAGGAAACTAATACAACTAAGTGCCACCAAAGACTAATATCAGTCCAAGAGTGTATGATTTTAATTGAGTCTCGGTATGTCCGAGAGATTTTTAGTTACTTCTTGGCATTTAGGTAGTAGGTGGAGGAGTTTTGACTGATGAAACAAAGTGGACAAAGCTGTTTTGAGGAAAGGAGATCCCAGAGAGGTTCCTGGCTCAGAGTAGCATTTATTCTGGAGAGTAAGAGTAATAAATGAGGATGAAAAGAGTTTAGTTGAGGGGCCAGCAAACAGAAAATAACCCCCATCCCAACCTCTGCCTAGAGAACTGCATATAACATTATAGCTAAGCAAAAGACTAAACCCACACAGTCTCTTCCCCTCTTCTCTCTTTTTTTCACACATACATACCACCTCAAAGAGTTTTCCTTGACAGAAACTGAAGAGATCATCTGGCAAGAGCAAGGGCAACTTGTATGGGTGTTAGTACCCTGAGTGGTGGTTGGCAAACTACAGCCTGCACCTGTTTCTTGAAAGTCTGCGAGTGAGGGATGGTTTTTACATCTTTTAAAAGTTGGGGGGAAATTCAAAAGAAGATTAATATTTTGTACCATGTCAAAATTTTGTAAAATTTACACGTCAGGGTCCATAAACTGAGTTGTATTGGAGCACAGCTACACTTGTGTGTTTGCATTTTGTCTGGCTGCTTCAGCACTACAGCAGTTGGGTTGTTGCAGCAGAGCCTGAATGCGGTGTGCTCGTAGCTTTCACTGCTGCTCTGCACACTTCAGATGACGCTTAATGCAATTATAACTCAACTATTTTAAGTGCCGCATGTATCAATGCACCAGGTTATTTTTAATCTTTAAGAAAATTACTAGTCTAAACCTATCAACGTCAAAACAAGAAAAGAAGAGAAAAGTGGACTTCAGATGTGCTTTCAGGCCAAGCAGAGTAGGGATTATCTTGTTAATTAGCTGGCAAAGCATTGTGTTTATTACACAGTGACGCTAGAGTTGTGCTAAAAGAATACAGTGTATGTTGACATTACGAGACCGAGCAGTCATCACAGTATTCCCGATTCCTAGGGAAAAAAGTGGTTAGAAAAACAAGATCTAGAGTATCTCATCACAGCAGAATTTATTTACACATTTTACAAAGTAAAATGAGGCTGCAGCCAAAGTAAGCCTCCAAGTAGCTTATTTGTTAGCAAAGCAAGAAAAGCCATTTGCCAAAGATGAGTTGATGAAATCACATTTGCTTGTAGAAGTTGAAGAAATGTGTCCTGAGAAAATTTGTTTCACACTATAAGCTTTTAGCCAGAGAACAGTTGGCAACATCAACATCAATTAAAGAACAAGGCAAATGGTTCCTAGTTGTTTTTCTTGACTCTTGATACTGATCAGTTATCAATAGTTATTAGAGCATCCAATGCCAAGTTTGAGACTAAAGAATTAGTTTCTATGAATAGTCTGCATAAAACAACAACAGGCAGGGATGTTTTCAAAGAAGTTGAGAATTGAGTAATTCAGAAAGACCTGAAGTGGAATCTGCTATGATGTGTAACAGTTGACAGTGGTAAAAATTTGTGTGGAGCAAAAAAAAGCTTAGTTGGACAAATGTACAAAACTTCTGAAAATGCAAGATGTTTAAAGCTTGTGGTTATTAAATATATTGTTGATTGGCAGGTACTTTGTGGACAATACTTAAATCGATCATTCTGTTATTATTCAACCATGAAGTTCTTTTGCTCTCATAGATTTTCACTTGAGTGAATTTTGTAAGAAATAGATGCTGAATATCCTGACTGCCCCTACCACTTAACAGTTAGATAGGTTGGCAGCAGTGAAGTTTTACTACAACTTTTGAGCTCAAGGCTAAGACTGAAATTTTTCTGAATGAGAAGAACCACTCTCAGTCACTATTATCGAACACTGAATGGCTTTGGAAATTAGCTTTGGCTAATTTGATACTGAATTATCAAATTGATATTATTTAATATCTAATATTTTGTATTCTGATAATTTAGAAACAGAATTTAAATGCTAATGATTAAATTATCCTTTGATAATTTAAGTTTACACTTGATGTTGTTACTTAATGAGGTCAACCTAAAATTACAAGGCAAAACAGTACTTATATGGGAAACATACTGTAGTATTTTGACAACAATTAGTATTTGAATCTCAGGTAATGTCAAGCTACCTTATATACTTCCCATACAATCAAAAGTTAAAACAGGATGTGAGATCTCAATCCCACACAAATTTGCTGCAGATATATTTTCTGAGCTCAAACTACACTTCTAGTAGTTTCCTTCCCTACTTTGCCTTCCTCTTATTGTGGATTTATACTTGAAAAATTTTTTTTTTCTTTTACAATATTGGGTCTCCAGCAGAAAGGAGATGAACATGCCTTGGCATCATGAACTAGTAATAAAAGAATGATAAATCATTGTGGGGTATCTCAGTTCCCCCACCATGGATTGAATCCGAGCCACAGCAGTGAACACCTGGAACCCTAACCACTGGACCACCAGGGAACTCTGTCCATCTACGTTCTTATATTTTCTCTTTACTGAATATATTTGCAGTAGAAAAGGGAAATTACAATACCTGGCAAATAGTGCAAATTGCATTGAGTGAAAATGCACTTAGGTTTGAGATTTTAGAAGTTTTCAGGAGAGGAAAAGACTTTTAAGAGGCATTGAAATGGTCTAAAGTGGCAGATCATACTTGATTTTGTCTTCACAAGCTTTAACTGTTTTTGCAGATTGCCTACTCAGTTTGTTTTTCTGAAACTTAATTGTCTTTGTTTTTTAGTGGACAGAAGACTGCAGAAAGTCAACCTATCCTCCCTCTGGACCAACGTGAGTAAACATCAGATGATCAAGACTCACTCTGACCTTCGTGGAGACTTTTCTCCATATCGTGATCTCATAATAATAATGACAGTGAATAAAAACTTAAGTCATGTCTTCTTCTATCCTGAGACAAATTTTTCTTCCCTCAGGTCTGTGTATTATGCATTTGGCTAAGACTTTGAACAAATATGAAAATACCCCATGATGAAAATGTCCATTTCTAGCCTTTTGAAATCATAGGAGAAAAAAAAGGATTTCCATTCTCCACTAAATTCTTCTATCTACCTCTGACTATTTTTCTCATCATGACAAATGCAGAGGTGACCCGTGATTTTCTGTGGTGCCTGAGTATAAACTACTGGATCATACTGAAACAAAAAAGTGTAGGGTATCATGTGAAACATTAAAAAAATTAACCCTGGCCTGATAATCAAAGCTATTGAGGACAAAACAGGATTGGAAAACATAGGGATGGGCCAATATCGTGTTTTAGTGTGTTTACATTAATATTTTTAGTTTAGGGTTTTGACCTTTTCAGATGCTATGTGGCTAACTAAGCCTGTGGGAAAGACATGAAAACAGCTCACTGGCCCAGAGGGTAAAGAATGTGAAAAAGAAGGAAAGGTGTGTCGGGAAGGGTAACCGTACTATCCCTGCTCTTCCCTCTCGCTAAAAGCCTGCTGCAGGGAAGGGAAGGCAGAGTACGTACAACTTTAACCAGTAATATCAAGATGACATTTCAGTTTTTATGGCACTTCAAGTATATATATATTGTGCTACACTTGCCTGAATTATGTTTTCTAAATAGCTTCTGTCCTAGATACAGTGAAACCGTAATAAACTAAATTCTTTGTATTTATTCACCTTTCTGTAGAAAGAAGCAAATATTTGGCAGGAAGTATTTAGAAGTTACTAGTTTCTATGTTGCTATGAAGCCAGTGCACACTCCAGCCCTCTATCATGGCTCGGTCTCTGAGGCTCTTCCTTTTCATCACCACTGGCATTGTATTGATCTTCAGTGCCTTATTGATTGCGACTGTCTCTTGGCTGCTCTCTCTGCCCCAATTCATTGACCATTTACTGAGTACCTGCCACATTTAAGGCTTTTTTGTCCCCACTCCCTTTTATGTGTAGGTGTCAGTGAATTGACTGCCCTGCAAACTGTCCCTGCTTGGGCATTTAACTGCTTCCACGTTAGCATGTATGTGTGTGTGTGCATGCACGCACACACACACATATGCAAATAAACATGTTTCTTATATTTACACATCTACATAATATAAATATGTTTGCCCTGGTATTTCTGCTGGATTCCTTCCTACCTCACTGGCTTGTTCGCAAGACGAAAGTCCTTAGCTCCGCTCTGATCTTTGTTCTCTATGAACTATAAATGGATGTTGAGGACTCGGAGAGAAGTGTGGTATTCATATACCTTTGAATGACAACACATCCTCCTGTACCTTTTTTAAAAATTTTTTAAAATTTTTGGCTGTGTTGGGTCTTCGTTGCTGCACATGGGCTTTCTTGAGTTGCAGCGAGCGGGGGCTACTTTTCGTTGTGGTGCACGGGCTTCTCATTGCGGTAGCTTCTCTTGTTGCAGAGCACGAGCTCTAGGTGAGCAGGCTTCAGTAGTTGCAGCTCGCAGGCTCGGTAGTTGTGATGCATGGGCTTAGTTGCTCCGCGGCATGTGGGATCTTCCCGGACCAGGGATCGAACCCGTGTCCCCTGTGTTGGCAGGTGGATTCTTAACCACTGTGCCCCGGGAAGTTCCTCCTGTACCTTTAAGACCATCCTTTTTAATCCAGTGCACAGATTCTGGATGTATGCATTGGCAGTTGTGAGGGAGGAGAGAAACACCTGTTTATCCAGCCTGACCGGTCAGATCAGTGCTGGAGGTCAAGGGACTGACAACAAGGGCACTTCTATATCCAGCTGAATCACATTATCATTTCTTTTCTACTGCTGACTGGTGCTAGCATCTGCTGTCTTATTTGTATACCTGTGTGTGTTGTGTCACTTGGACTAGTTGCCAAACTACCAGGTGGGTTCACTCAATGATTAATGTTGCTTGTGATGACCAGGGTACAGGAAATGCTAAGTTTCAAAAATAATTTCATGATGTTTATTGTTCAGAGTAAAGGAGGAAAATATTCTGTAGTGATCACTACTGATTAAATACCAATGCAGTGAGATGGCGGAGTAGAAGGATGTGCTCTCACTCCCTCTTGTGAGAACACCAGTCATCGACAGGAAGACACTGGAATTCACCAAAAAAGATACCCCACATCCAAAGACAAAGGAGAAGCCACAATGAGACTGTAGGAGGGTCGCAATCACAGTAAAATCAAATCCCATAACTGCTGGCTGGGTGACTCACAGACTGGAGAACACTTATACCACAGAAGTCCACCCACTGGAGTGAAGATTCTGAGCCCCACGTCAGGCTTCCCCACCTGGGGGTCCGGCAACAGGAGGAGGAATTCCTAGAGAATCAGACTTTGAAGGCTAATGGGATTTCATTGCAGGACTTGGACAGGACTGGGGGAAACAGAGACTCCACTCTTGGAGGGCACACACAAAGTAGTGTGGATCGGGACCCAGGGGAAGGAGCAGTGACCCCAGGGGAAACTGAGCCAGACCTACCTGCTAGTGTTGGAGGGTCTTCTGCAGAGGCGGGGGATGGCTGTGGCTCACTGTGGGGACAAGGACACTGGCAGCATAAGTTCTGGGAAGAACACCTTGGCATGAGCCCTCCCAGAGTCCACCATTAGCCCCACCAAAGAGCCCAGGTAGGCTCCAGTGTTGGGTTGCCTTAGGCCAAACAACCAAAAGGGAGGGAACCCAGCCCCACCCATCAGCAGTCAAGCAGACTAAAGTTTTACTGAGCTCTGCCGACCAGAGCAACAGTCAGCTCTACCCACCACCAGTCCCTCCCTTCAGGAAACTTGCACAAGCCTCTTAGATAGCCTCATCCACCAGAGGGCAGACAGCAGAAGCAAGAAAAACTACAATCCTGCAGCCTGTGGAACAAAAACCACATTCACAGAAAGATAGACAAGATGAAAAGGCAGAGGGTTATGTACCAGATGAAGGAACAACATAAAACCCCAGAAAAACAACTAAATGAAGTGGATATAGGCAACCTTCCAGAAAAAGAATTCAGAATAATGATAGTGAAGACGATCCAGGACCTCGGAAACAGAATGGAGGCAAAGATGGAGAAGATGCAAGAAATGTTTAACAAAGACCTAGAAGAATTAAAGAACAAACGAACAGAGATGAATAATACAGTAACTGAAATGAAAACTACACTAGAAGGAATCAACAGCAGAATAACTGAGGCAGAAGAATGGATAAGTGACCTGGAACACAGAATGGTGGAATTCAGTGCTGCGGAACAGAATAAAGAAAAAAGAAGGAAAAGAAATGAATGCAGCCTAACAGACTTCTGGGACAACATTAAACACAGCAACGTTTGCATTTTAGGGGTCCCAGAAGGAGAAGAGAGAGAGAAAGGACCTGAGAAAATATTTGTAGAGATTATAGTCGAAAACTTCGCTAACCTGGGAAAGGAAATAGCCACCCAAGTCCAGGAAGCGTAGTGAGTCCCATACAGGATAAACCCAAGGAGAAACACTCTGAGACACATAGTAATCAAATTGGCCAAAATTAAAGACAAAGAAAAATTATTGAAAGCAGCAAGGGAAAAATGACAAATAACATACAAGGGAACTCCCATAAGTTTAACAGCTGATTTCTCAGCAGAAACTTGACAAGCCAGAAGGGAGTGGCATGATATACCTAAAGTGATGAAAGGGAAGAACCTACAACCAAGATTACTCTACCTGGCAAGGATCTCAATTCAGATTCAATGGAGAAATCAAAAGCTTTACAGACAAGCAAAAGCTAAGAGAATTCAGCACCACCAAACCAGCTCTACAACAAATGCTAAAGGAACCTCTCTAAGTGGGAAACATAAGAGAAGAAAAGAACCTACAAAAACAAACCCAAAACAATTAAGAAAATGGTCATAGGAGCATACATAATTGATAATTACCTTAAACATGAATGGATTAAATGCTCCAACCAAAAGACACAGGCTTGCTGAATGGTTACAAAAACAAGACCCATCTATATGCTGTCTACAAGAGACCCACTTCAGACCTAGGGACACATACAGACTGAAAGTGAGGGGATGGAAAAAGATACTCCATGCAAATGGAAATCAAAAGAAAGCTGGAGTAGCAATACTCATATCAGATAAAATAGACTTTAAAATAAAGAATGTGGGCTTCCCTGGTGGCGCAGTGGTTGAGAGTCCGCCTGCCAGTGCAGGGGACACGGATTTGTGCCCCGGTCCGGGAAGATCCCACATGCTGCGGAGCGGCTGCACCCATGAGCCATGGCCGCTGAGCCTGGGCGTCTGGAGCCTGTGCTCCACAACGGGAGAGGCCACAACAGTGAGAGGCCGACGTACTGCAAAATAAATAAATAATAAAAAAATAAAGAATGTTACAAGAGACAAGGAAGGACACTACATAATGATCAAGGGATCAATTCAAGAAGAAGATATAGCAATTATAAATACATATGCACCCAACATAGGAGCACCTCAATAAATAAGGCAACTGCTTATAGCTATAAAAGAGGAAATTGACAGTAACACAATAATAGTGGGGGAGTTTAACACCTCACACCAATGGACAGATCATCCAAAATGAAAATAAATAAGGAAAGAGAAGCTTTAAATGACACAATAGACCAAGTAGATTTAATGGATATTTATAGGACATTCCATCCAAAAACAGCAGATTACACTTTCTTCTCAAGTGCACATGGAATATTGTCCAGGATAGATAATATCTTGGGTCACAAATCAAGCCTCAGTAAAATTTAAGAAAATTGAAATCATATCAAGCGTCTTTCTGACTGCAACACTATAAGATTAGAAATAAATTACAGGGAAAGATACATAAAAAACACAAACACATGGAGGCTAAACAATA